GTGTGACCCAATGTATGGGAGGACATCTACAAGGATAGAATCAACCCAAGAAGATCTTTTCCAAGACACATAGCCAGAGTGACCAAAATCACAAAGACATGGTACTAAGATTGGCAAGAGAGAAACGTCAAGGTACCTACAAAGGATATCCAATCAGGCTAACAGCGGACCTCTCATCAGAAACAATGCAAGCAAGGCAAGAATGGGAAAATATATTCAAAGTGTTGAGTGAAAAACAATTTCAACCAAGAATACTGTACCCAGCAAGATTACCCTTCATATGGGAAGAGAAGACAAGAACAGTCTCAGATAAACAAAACCTGAAAGCATTTACTGACACCAGACCAGTTTTCCAAGAAGTTCTGAAGGGAGTACTAGACCAGGAAAACTAAAATCAGAAATACAGAAATAAGAGTTAAAAAACAACTAAGAAAATGGCCAGCTAAATGGTAGGGACGAGTCTGGAGTTGAATGTTATCTTCCAGAACTTAAATGGAAAGATTGGACCACAACCGAAGATGGATTAAGTACCTGCGACTGAACTAGTGAAATAGAATTTTATGACTTTTGACTAAAATGTCACTGATCTTCTATGCTTTGTTTTCCAGAGTTAAGGATTTTTGTCTTCTCTTGAGTTGTTGACAGGCCCATGTACCTGCTATTTGAACAGGATCCTAACTTGTTTCCTGGCTTTAAGTCTTAAGCAAAGTTCTCTTAACATTTCTTTTTTAATTTATTAAAGCTAAAACTGCCTTTCTTGAAATTAAAAAAATATTAAAAATACCTATTTAATGATCACAGTAAGCTATATAGCCTCATCTAGGTGCTACTTTATAGTATATTCATTCTACTCAGCGTTTTATGCCTGAAGGCAAACATGCGTTCACAGATATGTATATATCAACTGAACTTGCTATTGAAAGTAGTTATATTAATTAAGATAGTTTGTGAATCAATAAAATGTGGGAAAAAGAAAAAAAAATGAAAAGCAACTACAGATACCAGAGACAGTGTGGGAGGAGGGTGGGAAATGGCAGAGGGTGAGACATAGGGGAGGGGGAATATATATATACATACATATACACACACACACACACACACACACACACACACATATATATATATATAAAACAAGAAACGGAAAATTATTTGTTAATGATAACACGCATGATTAAGCCACAGTGTGTTCTGGATGGGAAATTACATATTGTATGCTGTGATGATGTTCAGTGAATGAATGTAAAATAAATAAATACAAAATAAAAATAGAAAATTCTTTGGGGAGATGAGAAATAACCTCACCTGCTCCAAGTAAAAAGTTCACTGTGCTGTTCTGATTGGTAAGTCCATGGTTTATATTACTTTTATTTGTATTTGGTATTCAATGTTTGAATCATATTCTTCATATGAGGGGACTTCAAAACATTTGGGGAAAAATGGAATTGAAGTATGAGTTTAGGGGCCAGCGGGTGGTGTGGTGATTGAGGCACTGGATTCCCATATGATTGGCCACAGTTCGAGTCCTGTACTCAGGAGCTTGAAAACCACACCATGTGCATGTGTGCACAAAATCCCAAGAAGAGAATGGGGGAAAGGATTGCAGTGTGGACATGCCCTCTGGGGGATAATTTCTCACTTTCCCTCTCTGTGTCTCTTTCTGTCTCTCTCCAGGAAGTGCATGCACCTGTGGAAAAAGAAAGAAAGAAAGAAAGAAAAAAGTATGAGTTTATTTCAGTGCAAAAAATGTAAAAATCCATGCATAGCTTTTTCATAACATGCATTTCCCATGAACTTTTTGAAGACCCCATGTATGTGTCTGGTCTCCACCATTAGGCTGGGTCTCCTGTCAACCCCTTGAGACAAGGTCTACTCATTCTTTATTACCCCCAGCTGATGTTTCTGGGTACCTTCCATGTGTCAGACACTGAGGTAGGTGTTGGGGACATGAGACAGACCCAGCCCTGGCCACCCTCAGGACTGACCCCTCCTGCTCTTTCTCTGTGCTCCAGGACAGCACTCTGGCCACGACCTGGGGAGGACTGACTGCTGGCTGTGTGGACAGAGATGTGGAAGGACTGTCCCAGCCATGAGCCCGCCACCATCTTCCTGGACTCCAAGTTCATGGCACTCCAGCGCCCCTCTGAGAAGCCTCCAGGCCTCCTCCCAGTACCCTGGCATCCGGTGTTACTGTTGGCTCTGCCCGCCTGCCGCATGGCCAGGGCCTGGAGCAGTTTTTATTCCAAAGGAGGGCAGTCAGCTGAATTTCCAAACCTAAGATTTTTCCACTTCGATTTTCCTCCTTTCCTCTTTTGCCCAAATAACACATTCATTTTGTGCAAAGAGAATCAAGCAGTTCTTGCTCTAAGAGTTAAAGACTTTATGGGGAATACCAAAGGACAGGCAGGGCAATGGCTAAAGCTCTTCTCCTGTCAGGAGGGTGGGGAGGAGAGGTGCCTGCGAAGGGCCTTCCCAGGCAGACAGCAGGGGTGAAGTCAGGTCAGGGAGGGCAAAGCTTTTCTCTTTCCTTCTCCAGACTCCACCCCACTCCTTCCATTGCTTTTATCCTTTTTATATCCTCTTCTCTTCCTCCCTTCCCTCTGTCTTCCCATTCCCTCTTCCTTCCTCTTCATCCATGTAGCCATTCAGTCAGTGTTCTCTCTGCTGGCATGTATTCGCCATCCACCATGTTAGATACGAGAACAGAGACAGCTTAGCCAAGGCCACGGCTTGGAGAGTCTAGGGGCTATGAAGAGGGGGGTAGGCGGATGCCAGACTGGGGGTGAGGGAGGAGCTACAATCGGCAAAGAGTTATCGGTAAGTCTCCAAGCACATTCAGGAGCTCACACGGCGCGTTAAAGCTGGGAAACGGGATCAAGGAAGTAAGACTTGAGACCCTGATGTGTCTGGGACACTGGTTCATTCCTCTCCCCTACCCCATCCCGGGGAAAGGCACCTAAGAGAGAAAGAATCCAAGCTGCATGAGTAGGTTGCCTTGGATTCAAATCCCAGATCGACCACTTTCTGTATGACCATTTAATCCTTCTCTTTTTTTAATTGCCTGAGGGCACATATCCTCACCAGGCAGACAGAGAGAGGCAGAAAGCATCCTTCAATGGCACGCACTCACACCGCAATCCCTTCTCCTCCATTTCTCCCTCCTATTGGCAGTTGGGGTATGCATACAATGCACCTGGAGTGTTTCACAAGCTGTGGGGCTGGGATTCGAACCACCGTCAGCCACATGGGATCTGGCTCTTTTATTTTTATTTTTATTTTTTTGAGAGGTTTTCGCTATAGGTGCATGTGCTTGCCAGACAGACAGAGAGAGACATAGAGACAGAAAGCGAGAAATCAACCCCCAGAGGGGATGGTCATGCCGCAATCCCTTCTCCTCCATTCTCCTCTCGGGATCTTGGGCACGAACGCACACGCGCCCGGCGTGAGTTTTAAGCCACCAGGTTTGGGCCGCGAACCGCGGTCGACTACGTGGGAGTCCAGTGACATAGCCATTACGCTAACTGCTGGTTCCCTGGGATCTGGCTCTTTTAACCACTAGGCTATGAAGACAGCTCTATTTATCCTTTTTAAAAACAAATTTTAAAAACGCATTTCTTACATAGCTTATTTTTAGGGATAGTGTTAGGTTCATGGCAAAATTGAGTACAAAGGTCAGATTTCTCCGTCTTTGTGGTGCCCCACACAAGCACAGCCTCCCCGCTCCAGAGTGGTCTGTTACGACTGATGGACCTGTGCTGACCTCATTGCGCCCGAAGTCCACAGTTTGCATTAAGATTCACTCCTAGTGCCGTGCACTCTGGGGGGTTGGACAAATGGGCCATGACCCATAGCCACCACTATGGCATCTTACAGAGAGGTCGCACTGTCCTAAACATCCGCTATGCCATGTCTCGCTGTATCTCTTCTCAGTTTCTCCTTTGAAGTGGAAGAAATAGCAACAGTCTCCTGGGGCGATCTAAGATCATGCACACAAACGCTTTAGTTTGAGTGTGGGTTATGTCCATAATACTGCAACGAAAAGCCAAGAGCCTGTACACAGTGGTCTCTGACTTAAGAGGAACTGCTGGAAGGAGAGAACAGGGTAGCGAGGACAGGGAGGGTCGGAGAACAGGGACACTGCTGTATCTGGTTTTGGTGGAAGGCAACTTGGGGAGTGGTAGTGGGAGGAAGATACAGAGGTCCACAGGGTTCCCTAGGCCCTCTGGACTGTCCCTGCTCGTGGATTAACCCATCCCAACTTTATCCAGGCAGTCTCTGGCTGCTCTTGGCAGGGGCTCGGAGAGACAGTGTGAGTCACATCCACGTGGCTGATGTGGGGAGGGAGGGAGGAATGAGGAGGGCTCATGCCCAGTTGGGCCACGCTGGCTTGGAGAAATCGTTCCTGAAAGTCCCTGGCGGGAAGCGGGCTGCTGCGGGCTGTTAACCTGCCATACAAAGCACCAGTAAACAGTCTCCAATGAGAATCGCAGATGTCAGTTCATTCCAGAATGCCAGACGCACATTCCGGGCTCCAGGTAGGGCCAGCTCAGGCAGCCCTGCACCCTAGCTGCAGCAGGGCTGTTGGTCCCTCGGCCCTCCAGCACCTCTGCCCTCCAGCACCCCTGCCCAGGAGGTCTGTGTCCCCCTGTAGGCACACAGCATCTACACAGGAAGAAGGAGTCCTGGAATTGCAGACAGCACAAATGTATCCCTTCCATTCGGGAAGGGAAGTATTCTGGGGTCTGCCTGGGCTGTCTAGACCAAGCAGATAGGCTGGGCCGTGAGACCACAGACATGGGTGGGCCATGTGGTAGGCTTGTGTGGGCACTCCCAGGCTCCACCTGTTGGCTCTGTTGCCAGGCAGGGCCACAGCTGAGTTTGGGGGGAAGCCAGGCGCTTGCCGTGTATATGCTCAAAATTTATCGGCTTGTGGCAGGGAGGGGTGGGGAGGGAGAGGACGGAATGGAGCACATCTGGTGACCTGATTTTTTGTTTTCCTGCTCTTTGTTAAGGGCTTTGGCTGTTCTAGGAGCTGGAGGAAGAAGATAAGGAACCAAGCAGGGGCAGGAGAAAGGGAAGATAGGGCAGGGGGTGGGCGTCACCTGGCTGGGCTCAGAGGCGGGTGTGCTGACTCCATCGGCAGGGGCCTCTGCTCCTTGTGGCGGGCAGGAGAGGCTCAGCTTCCCTGTGTGAGGACGCAGTGGGGAAGGAAAGTGTTATCACGTGACCACTAGCCACCAGCATCTCTAACAAGGATGTGACCTGCAACCCTGTCAACACCTGATTCCAAAAGCAGCACAGAACCAAGTGTGTCACCGAGTACAGCTGCAAACAGCCACCAGCATGCGTGTGATGGACACCCATGTCCCTACACAGCTTGCACGGGGGCACACAGACGCTTCATAAAAACTCGAGCGGCCGCACGGGCCCTTCAGATGATGACAGACGCTGTGCTGTCGCCGTTCCTTGGATTGTACAGTCTAATGCCCATTTCAAGTTTCCCACAAACTTCCAGAGGGTGCTCCCATTTTTTGGTTTTTGTTTTAGTTTTTGCTATAGTGCACATGTTCTCTCCAGAGAGAAAGGGAAGTGAGAAATTACTGTCCGGAGGAAGGCCACGCTGCAATCCCTTCTCCTCCATTCTCTCGGGATTTGGGACAGGCACACACATGCGCACATATCTGATGTGATTTGCTTTCTTTTTTAAAAGAATTATTTAATTTTATTTATTATTATTATTATTTTAATTTGCTACAGGGCACACATGCTCACCAGAGAGAAAAAGAGACAGAGAGCTCCCAGGTCCAGGACTCAATCTGTTGTCGGACATGTGGGAGTCCAGTGCCTTAACCACCATGCCACCTGCTAGCCTACCTGGTGTGACTTTCTTGCTGCAGTCCAGGACTCAAACAGCATAGTTGGCTATGTGGGGTCCAGTGCCTTAACTACTCGCCACCTGCTGGCCCTGGTGCTCTCACTTTTGATGACTTGTTCAGTCCAGGGTCCTCTGCCAATCCTGGTGGCTGTCTTTCTCCCAGACGGAGAACGTGACCAAAACACTCATGAGACAAACTCAGGAAGGTGTAAAGAAATGAAGATATTTATAGCATGGCACTGCAAATGGTATTAAGCAATAAACATTACGATCTTACTTTTTAAAATTCATCGGTCATTTTTACAACTCAGGACCCATGCTATTCGGCAAACTCCCTTTCCCTGCCTCTCCGTTTGTTGTCTTCTTCTTCAGGGCAAAATCCAAATTCCTCTCATTTCTTACGTGGAGTAGTTCAGCGCTCTCCAGCCTCTGCTGCCAGACTTGGCTCCTGGACTCTCTGCATAGCCAAAAACCCACTGGCAGGTCTGAAAATAGTCCCTGTGGCTTGCTGATTAAGTTCTTAGAACAGAGGCCATCTGCCTCCCCCATCTTCCTTTATTAGGCGTAGTTTGTATTTTTCAAGTTAAACATAAATATGCAAAAGTACACTTGCAAAGAAACACAGAACTCTGTGTCCTTGCCCGAAGGTGAGACGGAGAACTCGATGCAGTGCTCAGGGCAGTAGCGGAATCTAAACTCCCACCCCTCCTCACGCCTCGGTCCCTACTTCCAATGGCCCAGGGCTCGTCTCATCATCAATTCACTCATTTATAAAGTCAGTGTCATCGAGAGCCTGCTACATGCTAAGAGCTCTCCTTGGAGGCTACAAAGATGAACAAAACAAGGGTGTGGAAATGGAGTGGCGAGTCGTGAGAGAAGGGGACAAGGTCTGTGATGGGGAAGTAAAATGTGCTACTGGGACACAGAGGAGGGTTGGGATTGGGGTGAGGAGAGGGTGCAGGATGAGTAGAAATTCATCACTTAGAGAAAGGGAGCATCATTGAGGACCAAAACCTATCACTCAATTCATTCCGTGATAACTTAGTACTATGCTAAGCAGTGAACAAGACTGACTTCATTTGTTAGTGAAAATGGCAGGCTTCAATAAACATGAGGGTTCTGGAAGGGGAAGCTCAGAGTCAGGTCAGCCTTTCTAAGGAGGTGACATAAGCCGAGACCTGAAAGAAGAATAAGAACTGGCTGAGTGAAAGGGAATGAGAATACGTCCAGGCAGAGGAAGGAGCATTTGAAGCTAAAAACAAGGAAGCGTTTGCGGGGCAGACAGTGGCGCAGTGATGCAACACCTTGCGAGGCTGATCCACGTGGCAAGGCTCCGGTTCGCATCCCTGAGGTCCGAATCCACTTTCCAAGCAGCTGGCGCTCTCAGTCCCTTCTGTGGCAGTGCGGACACATTTTGCAACTTGTTCCAGGTTTGGTTCTGACTTCTGGGGCTCAGAGCTGCCTCACGTTCTTCATGGCATCGAGCCTGTCTGAAGGGTACATTCTTGGTTGCCCTGCATGCCTGGAGCCCTCCTCATGGTTACCTGCCAGCCTGCCGGCCTGCCTTCCCTCCTTCCTTATCTCTCCTTCCCTCCCACAAATTTATTTATTGAGCATCTCTTTTGGTTCCAGGTGCCTGTTAGTTGGTAGAAATAAATATCATTGAGGCATGGCCTATCTCCAAGGAGCTCATAAACTGGTGGGGAGAGAAACATGGAGAGGTGCCTCTGCCCCTGCTCCTGTAGGAGGGGAAGGCCCTCCTAAGAGACAGAGCCAGGATCCCAAACCAGCGCTGGTCTAACACCCTCAGGACACCAGACAGCAGGCCACCTGGCCAGAAGCAGTCTCAGCGCCCTTGCCCCAGGCCCTTCTGACTATCTGGTATGTTTTCCATCTTGGTGGTTTGCAGAGATGCCCCGAATCTCTGCTCTGGAAACCACAATTTTCCTACCTGAAGCTGGAGACTGGACCAGATGACCTCATGAGCAGGGAGAAGGACTCTAAGGATGCTGCTGAGCTCGCCCTTGCCCTTGTCCAGCACTCTTAGGGAGGGCAGAGGGAGAGGAACTTGGGGGGGGGGGCAGGCTACATCTGCTCTTAGAAGAATTGATAGGACAGTTCTCCCAGGTGCCTCACTGCCCTGGAGGAGTCTAGGCCTGGACAGGGGAAGCTGGAGACTGGACCAGATGACCTCATGAGCAGGGAGAAGGACCCTAAGGATGCTGCTGAGCTCGCCCTTGCCCTTGTCCAGCACTCTTAGGGAGGGCAGAGGGAGAGGAACTTGGGGGGGGGGCAGGCTACATCTGCTCTTAGAAGAATTGATAGGACAGTTCTCCCAGGTGCCTCACTGCCCTGGAGGAGTCTAGGCCTGGACAGGGGATAAGGGGCAAATCCAGGTGACAGGGACAGTTAATGGAGAGGCTCTTAGTGGGATTATCACAAAGTAATCTTCAGTAATGCTGTGAACCAGGGGAGAGGCCAGTGCTGGTCACTTCTGTCCTACAATCTACTAAACACTTGTGAAGGCCAAGGGCTCCTATGTGGGGTTACCAGAGAGAGGAAGACTCAGCAATTCAAGGTGCCATGTGACAGTTGCTGAGACAGATCTATAATTGGCATGTTAGGTAGAGTGAGAACCTACCCTGAGCGCAGCGCAAAGCATCAATTATCTCAGAGGTAGAGAGCCTGTCCAGCCAGGATGATTCGAAATGGAGGGAGTGGCTTCGAGATAAAGCTTTGCCTCATTTAGGACTGCGTTCGGCTGCATGTAAATAGGTCTAAAAGTAGAGGTTATTTTTCTCTTGTAATAAGTAAGTGTGGAGGCAGGGCTGCACAGGTCTCAGGGATGTCATGAAGGGCCCAGGCTCCTTGAGGCTTCCAGGCCAGCACCCGTAACATACAGCCTCCATCTCTTCAGTTATGACTTTGTTACTCCACTCCCAGGCACCACGTCACAGACTTCCCAGGGAGTAAAAGGGAAAAAGCAAAAGGCATATGCCACATATACCAGCTCTGTCTCTTTTTTGTTTTTGTTTGTTTGTTTGTGTTTGTTTTAATTGCTGGAGGGCTTGTCAGAGAGAGAGAAAGCATCCCCAGCAGGGTGCAGCCACATTGCAATCCCCGTTCCTCCACTGCTCCACCCTGTCAGGATTCTGGGCATGCACATCCAGGGTGTTTTTCAAGCTATTGGAGCCAGGACCTAAACTGCAGTCAGGCGCAAGCTGGCTCCCAGTAAATAGCACCTACCACCTGTGTTATGGGACCAATCCCTCCTCTCCTTTTTCATTAAACAAACAAAAAGTTATAGGGACCAGCAGGCAGCATAGTGGCTGAGACACTGGACTCCCAGTGCTTGTTGAAGCACTGGACTTCCCCGTGGTTTGAGTCCCAGACCCAGTGGCTTGAATCTCATGCCAGGCACATGTGCACGCATGCCCAAAATCCCAAGAAGAGGATGGAGGACAAGGGATTATGGCCTGGCCATCCTCCTGGAGGTTGATTTCTTGTTTTCTATCTCTCCAGCAAGCACATACACCCTGTAGTGAAAATCTCTCTCAAAAAAAATTTAAAAATTGTAGTTTTTTGGCTGGAAGTGTATCGCATGATCAGTCCTAGCAACAAGGAGGCCTGGAAAATCTGTATTTTTAAGATACATTGATGTGTCTTCCCCAAGCAAAGTCAGTGTACTGTAACTGGAGAAGAAGCGATCACTGACAGAGGCAGGCCAACGAGCATGTCCGCCAGAGCCCTGAGGAATGAGCGGCACCAGCTCAGGTGATGAGGGAAGTATTTCCTAGCAGAGAAACAGTAAGAGGTGCGGGCAGGGCGGGAACGTGCCGGGCGTGTTTGCGGACTTACCAGCGGTCCAGGTCAGCTGCAGCATAGAGGCTGCACAGAGGGAAAGGTGGATGGGGCAGTTTGAAAGGTCTGGCTTTATGGAATCATCCTCCTGCCCAAACCCGCACCCTGTGAGTGCAGAGGGTGGGGATGGGGACCAGCCACAGCAGTCATCTAGCTGCAACAGGCGACAGTGGCGGAGGTTCAGAGAAAGACAAATATGACACAATTCTGACCGCCTGGCAATGACAGCTGCAGGGAGAGGGCTGCTGGACTGGGCTCATGCACATTGCCAAGGGGGCGAAGACTCTGACCCTCCAGCCCCGGCCCCACCTAAGAGAGCCTCTCACCCTTCACTGCTCCTGAGGAAACGGCTGAATTATACACCATAGCAGGCCCTTACCCAAGGCCGGTTTATTCTTGTCACTCTTCCTTCCCACATCGGCCCTGCTAGCCCCAGTCCTCCCAGGCCA